ACACAAGGTACATTTAAATATGTGTGGGTAAGTAAATAAATAAACCTTACCTGTAAAATTTAAAAATGAAAATGAAGACATTTAAAAATGGGAAGTAGCATATGGACCAGTTGGGAGGGAAGAGGATCATTGATGAAAGGTGGAAGAAGACAAGAGAGGATATCTGGGGGTGAATATGTTTTAAAAACATTACCTACATGTATAAAGTATGGAACATTATTATGTAATAAAAAAAAACCACAAATCGCTACAGTTCCCATGAGTTTCACTCAAACAGTCATGTTTTCACAGGGAGAGGTATGTGCACATGTAAGATCACCACTGTAAGGGTGGAGAGACCCGAATGCAGACTCTGAACTATGACTCAAGAAGGCAAAACGTTTTGGAGAAAAGGGTGTGCTCAGAGCACCTGTGCTTGCTCATGCTCTCCCTTTATCAGGAGGACAGTGCTCAAATAGTCACACCACTTTCCTGTGGGAATCTCACAGCTCATGGCTAATTAGAAAAACAACCACAGGGGAGAATAGGAGAAGAAGAAGGAGGGAGGAAGGGTGGGATTGAGAGGGGAGGGGGGCTACAGCTGGGACACAAAGTGAATAAACTGTAATTAATAAAAATAAAATAAAGAGAAAAAGAAAAAAACAACCACAGCTACTCCAGTCACAGCTTCCTTCCTATTCCTTGCTCTCTGCCCAACAGCCACACTGAGCCTGTGACTCGAAGGACAGTAAACAGGTTTGGGGTGAGGGTTGCACATAACGAGAATAGCTTCTGAAGCCATGCTGTGCACACAGCCGAAGAGCGTTTGCCCAGCCTGCTGAGCCCTGCTTCCAATCAGTTCGACCTAGTCTCCTGTTACAACTTCGCCCTGCCCATCAAGCTCCCGCCTACACCCCTTTGGGTCCAAATATCTGTCTGGGCAAGGCTCACACGTTCTGTGTCCTGTTGGTGACACACAGTGCATCCCATAGCAGCACAGACTCAGACCTGAGAGCTGGCCGTGCCTCTGGACACACTTCCTGGCTGGCTGAATGCTGTGGCCTGTGGCCTTCTGTTTCTCCTCCAGGTGCATGGTGAGACCCCCTCTACATTTGTGATGGGGACCAGAGTTGCCAATTTTTACAGAGCCAGAGGCTGAGGCTGTGGTAGGGGAAGTAGCAAGGAGGGAGGAGCAGGTAGAGATGACAGGTGATAGAGTGGGAAAGTGGCCTCTGCAGCATACAGGGTGTCAGTGATGCCTGAGGACACTAAGTGTGAGGGCCTCTGATGAGCCCTGCACCTCAAAGTCAGGAGCCCAGAGGGGAAGGTGGGCATTTCCATCCTCTGTGTGTGGCTGGGCCTGTGACTGTAGCCGCTCTAGACCTTTAGATAATAATGAAATTACGGACACCTTCATGGTGTCATTGGTCTCTGAATGTGTCACCCCTTGAACAGAGAAACATCCTGGTATACTCCTGGTCCTCAGTTATACAGTTCTCCAGCCCTACAACACTTGCCAAACTGACAGGCCCGGGTTCCTGTCACCATTTTCTGACCTTTGGGAAAGGAAAAAGTTGGCTTCCATGGCAAAGAGCATGTGCTCTGGGCCTGTACAAAGTCTTCAGGCTTATAGAAGGTGATCTGGGAAGGTCTGTGTGTAGCCCTGATGCCTCTTACCCATAGGTGTTCAAGCATGACCCATGCTGACCTCCTGCCAGGCCTCAGATCTACCCTAAGATGACCATGTTCACATTGTGATTCTTGCCTGCTGATGTGCAGGCTCTGAAATGTCACCAGGGCCTTCTGGGCAGCATGGCCTGCCCAACCCTTTTTGGCTTAGTTGAACATTTTTGTTTGGGTCCTGGGTTCAGAATTACTAACAACCATAAAAGGGTACAGAGTTGTACCCCATCCAGACAAGGCTGGACAGGGGCCACAGACCACAGGGACATCAAGATGTCAGTCTCACACATGATTAAAAAGATAGGTATGAGCTGGTATGATGTCACATCCCTGTAAGCAGCATTCTGGATAAGGCAGAAAAAGCAGAAGGCTTTCCAGCTGCAGGCCAGCCTGGGCTACAAAGCAAGAACCTCTCTCAGGAAAAATAAAAAAGTTAAATGTAGAAATGTGTAATAAAAGAATCACATAATAATCTCAGCATCATTACTAACCAAGGGAAGAAGTACATCTGGAAATGAATTTAGATAGAAATTCTTTTTGTTTGTTTTTGTTTTTGTTTTTCCAAGACAGGGTTTCTCTGTGTAGCTTGGCTGTCCTGGACTCAATTTGTAAACCAGGCTGGCCTTGAACTCACTGGATCCACCTACCTTTATCTTCCTGAGTGCTGGGATTAAAGTATGTGCCAATTCCCAGCGGACAGAAATTCTTAACAAAATCAGAAATTTGAAATATCATATAAATGGTCAGGTGGCAATCCAATCAATGGTGACTTTTTGGTTTTAAATATAGCATAAATGGCATTTACTGAGATTTAATTACAGAGTAATTTTCTACTCTTTTTTTTTTTCTTTTCATGGACCCTCTTTTTAAATAATATTTATTTTTACTTATGTGCATTGGTGTTTTGCCTGCATGTGTGTCTGTGTGAGGGTGTCAAATTTTGGACCTACAAACCATTGTGAGCTGCCATGTGGGTGCTGGGAAATTGAACCCAGATCCTTTGGAAGAACAGTCAGTGCTCTTAACCGCTGAGCCATCATCTCTCCAGCCCAAAGGACCTCCTTTTTGCCCATACGGCTGTTATAAAGAAAAGGTAATTCTTGAGAAGCCTACATGTGTGATTAGAGATGTGTTATCCTTCCCCCATGCGCTATTCACAGTCAGAATCTCTGCTTAACGAACTCCAATTCTGCTTCGTTTAAAAATAAAAAGGAAGAATGTGTGCGTAGATATTTTTCGCATATATCGGTCACAAACTGCCCCTTTCTGGATTGTTTTTCCACCTCCTGACTGAAAGTATTCCCATGCACAGGATTCCATGGAGAGCTTCTCTTGCTATATTCAGCAAGCTCTGGATGTAGCTTGACTCTTACCAGACCCATTTCAACAGGTCTTGCCTGTGGCTGTAATGGGGGCAGGAATTTGTGGCCCAGTTCCTCAGTGAGCTACACAGATATGTCATGTGGTATGGTCATGTCACATATGTCCTGTCCCAAGGCTCGGGGTGAGCCTTCCATACTGGAAGATGTTAGCAATTGTCCTATGGTCCCTTGGAGTGGCTGCAGCCTTGGCTACGTAGCTCCAAATACCCAACCCATGTTTATCAGGTGTGAAAAGTTTTCACTTTCTTATGGAAACATGGTGGGTATGCCAAATCCTGCTGTACTGGAACATGATGCTATGGAGACAAGCTGCCAGGGAGGTGATAGCTGGTGGAGAAGTGAGACCCTATAGGGAAGGAGGGCCTCACTGCATACCTCCCTGAATCCTGACTTGGAGAATGAGGGCTACAAAGAGTGTGGTGTAGCACCCAAGGTGAGACTGAGGAAGAAGAACCAGCAAACCTGTGGTGGTGTTCATCACCCATTTCACCAAACACCAGGACTCAGACACCCTCAGTTTACTGGGATTATTGGATGACTTTCAGTTATGCCTTTACTGTCTAATCCCAGCCATAACAGCCTAGGCTTTTCAAAAATTATATTTATTTGTTTATGTGCGTGTGTATGTGAGTGTTATGTATGCCCGTGTGGTGCATGCAAACTGGTATGTGTACAGCTATCAAACTCAGAGGACAGGCTCGCTCCCTCCAGACAGGCTCTCTCAATGAACTGGAGCTAGGTTGGAACCAGCAAGCCCCCAGGGATCCTCCACTCACAGCACTTGAACTGAATCAACGTGCAAAATCCATTACTGGGTGCTCATAGGGATATCTGATAGCAACAAGACCACCTTGGTGAGCCTGGTTGGATGATCTAGGACCTACCAGAAAGCAGTATTTGAAGACCAGGATGCTTAGAAAAGGCTAGGCTGAGGGATAACAAGAAAGTAGCAACACCCGTAGAATGAAGGTAGGTGATCGGGACCCAATCTTGATATCACATATTACAGGCGAAGACTCAGCCAGCCCCATCAGGACCACCCACACAGGACAGGTTCCGGGCAGTCTTGTCCACTTGAATGACACCACAGTGAGTGTCCACACCTTCCTGGGAATTCCCTTTGCCAAGCCAACTCTAGGACAGCTGAGGTTTGCACCCCCTGAGTCTCCTGAGCCATGGAGTGGTGTGAGAGATGGGACAGTCTACCCAGCCAGGTAAGCTCTCCTGAGACCTAGGGAACTTCAGACCCTGGATCAGGTAGGAACTCAGAGCTCTGAGCCTGGCTTCAAAACTTTCCCCATTACAACCCCTGAGCTCCATTCCCTCTGTGATAGAAAAATGCTGCAGATGCCAGAGAAAGGCCAAGATGATGATGGTTTCCTGGCAAAAATCACCTCCACAATCATTGTACCAACCCACAAGTGTCCAGGTACCACTGTCCAAGAAGCAAATATATGTCTTCTAAATAAAGATTCTAGGAAAGAGGAGGGGTCCTTGAGAGTCTGAACATGAGGTGAAGGATGTCCTACCACCCTGATTATTAATGCAGCACCTATGCAGGTCCAGCGCTCCAATACCCAGGCCTCAGAGAGTGCAAAGAGAAGAGGCATCTTTATACACACCAATGGTTCCCACAGAAACTCGTGGAAATGTCAACACCCGTTCTCAGGAGATGTGGGATCCAGGACTCCTACCCATCTGCCAGCCTCCCTGGAAGTTTGAGCGCCATACCAGTTTTCCCAGAGCCTGTGGGACCTTTACCTTGGTGGGAAAAGATTTTAGAGTAGGATCTCATGTTGTCAGGAAACCATACAGCAGACAGAGGGGATTTTTGGTGGTGGCTGGGAGTGAATATATACTCAGGCTCTGTTTTTGACCACTGCACATCAATTCGAATAATTGTCTGTCATTGTCCCCCAGGTGTCTACAAAATTCTGAAACAGCGAAGGCAGAGAGTCTGGAGAGGATGAATCTGACCCTCCTTCCCATCTCTACATCAGAGGACTGCCTGTATCTCAACATCTATGCACCAGCTCATGCCCACGAGGGCTCTAACCTGCCTGTGAGTGTCAAGTCACGGTCAGCTTTGGAAGGATGCATTTATTCAGGATGATTAGAAGGGGGAAATCAGTCTGAGAGCTTGATGGGAAGCTCTCCCTATCAGGTCCAACAAGGCCTTCTCTGCAATGGCATAAACTAAACCCTGGGCATGGGACAGAGAGATCTAGAGACTCTAAGAAGTCAGAGGTTGTAGTTCTGTGATCAGCTCTAATCTCACACTGCCTACCAGAGACCTGAGAACTGAAACACTGAGATCATGCAAATGTATTGCCATGCCAATTTTTTTGTATCAGAAAGTGTATCATTTTGTAGCTCTATTTGGCCTGAAACTCACTATGCAGACCAGGTTGGCCTCCAACTCAGAAAGATCTTCAACCTCTGCCTCCAGAGTTCTGAGATATATACAAATATACATACATACATATATACATACATACATACTTCATTGAAAATAGATTCTTCTCTCATACAATACATCCTGACTAAATAAAAAAAAATGAATAAACTGTAAAAAAAAAAAAATTAAAAAAAAGAAAGAAAGAAAACAATACATCCTGACCACAGTTTTCCCTCCCTCCACTCTTCCTAGCTCCCCATCACCTTCCCTTTCCCCCAAATCCACTCCCCCTCCATTTCCTCTCGAGAAAAGAGCAGGCCTCGCAGGGATATGAACCAAACACTGAACAAGACACAATAAGACTACACACAAACCCTCATATCAAGGCTGGACAAGAGAATCCATTAGGAGAAAAAGAGTCCCAAAGAGAGGCAAAAGAGTTGGAGATACAGCCAAACCCACTGTTAGGAGTTCCACAAAAACACCACATAACACACAGAGGGCCTGGTGCAGACCATGCAGGCCCTGCACTTGCTGCTTCGGTGTCTGTGAGCCCATGTGGGACCTCATTAGTTGCTTCAGTGGGCCGTGTTCTCCTGGTGTCCTCCATCCCCTCTCGCTCTTATGATCCTTCCTCCCCCTCTTTGATCCGCTTCCCAGATCTCTGAGGGGAGGGACCTGACAGAGACTTTCAGGTTAGACTCTCTTTCTGCATAGTTGTCTGGCTGTGGATCTCTGTACCCGCTCCCATCTGCTGCCAGAGGAAGCCTCTCTTATGATAGATAACTGGGCAAGGAACTGATCTATGAGTCTAGCAGAGTATCATTAAGAATCGTCTTGTTGATATTTGACTATTTGTTTCTTTGTTTGTTTGTTTGTCCGTGTTTGCCACTCATGTTTCATTCTATCCTAGATCTCTGGGCTATCCAGTCTCTGGTTCTTGTCCATCCAAGTAGTGTAGGGCATGGGCTCCCTTTCCTGGCACGGGCCTCAAGTTAAGCCCAGTCACTCTCACAGGTTCAGAGCCACCATTGTCCCAGCACATCTGACAGGGGGACAGAGTATAGGATGAGGGTTTTGTGTCTGGGTTGGTGTCCAGGTTTCTCTTCCCATTGCTTTCAGAGTACCTACTTGAACCAAAGATACTAGAACATAGGGGTGAAAATGTCATGCCAGCACCAGCTCAACCTCTCCAATGTTCAATGAGCTCTGCTGATGTTGTTCTTGGCAATGGGGCCCCCACTGTTAGTTTCAGAGAGCGGCCTTTTGTTCTAGCATCAGCCTGGGCTGCTTAAGGATCTCCACAGGACCTCCTTCCTCCGCCAACTACTCAACTGAATGCAACCCAGTCCCACCATTAGAAGCCTTGCCTGACTACAAAAGATGGCCAGTCCAGGCTCTGTATCCTCTATTGCCAGGAGTTCTCAGGAGGGTCAGTCACCCTCACAGATTCCAGGAAGTTCCACTGCACGAGGTTTCCACACTACCAGCCCCAATGCTCTCCAATTCCAGCTCTCTCTTCCCCGAACTCTCTAACTCCATGCCCCACAACCTGATCCTCCCCTCCCCCCAGCCCACCCCCCAAAATCTATTCTACTTCCCTTCCGTAGAGAGGTTCGTGCATTCTCTCAGAGCCCTCCTATTTACCTAACCTCTCTGAATCTGTGGATTGTAGCTTGAGTGTCATTTACTTGACAGCTTATAAGTGTCCAATTATAAGTGATTACATGCTATTTGTCTCTCTGGGTCTGGAGTCTGGAGTACCTCACTCAGGATAACTTTTTTTTCTACTTGCATCCATTTGCCTGCAAATTGTATGGGGAGGGCAGGGGAACTGGGGTGAGGGTGGCAGTGGACTGTGTGTGTCTGTGTGTGTCTGTGTGTGTTTCCCTTTCTTTGGTTTTGCTGGTGTGAGATTATTTATTTCCTGTGTTTTCATGGGTGCATTCAGCATCCTTGGGTTGAAATTTTTTTTTTTCTATTACCTTCTGTAAGGCTGGATTTGTTGATAAATACTGTTTAAATTTTACTTTATTATGGAACTTTTTGCTTTCTCCTTCTGTGGTGATTGAAAGTTTTGCTGGGTGTAGTAGTCTGGTATATGTGTTCTCTTAGAGTCTGGTGAACATCTGTCCAAGTCCCTCTGGCTGTTAGAGTCTCCATTGAGAAGTCCGGTATAATTTTAATAGGTCTGCCTTTATAAGCTACTTGGCCTTTTTCCCACTCTGCTTTTAATATTCTTTCTTTGTTCTCTATATTTTATGTTTTATATATGGCTAGCAGACTTTCTTTTCTGATTCAATCTATTTGGTGCTCTGTATGCTTCATGTATCATTATAGGCATCTCCTTTAAATTGGGAAAAAATTCTACAATTTTATTGAAAATATTTTCTGGGCCTTTAAGCTGGGATTCCTCCTTCTCCTCCTTCCTACTCCTCCTCCTTGTCCACCTTCTCCTCCTGCTCCTCATCTTTCTCCTCCTCTTCCTTCTCCTCTTCTTCCTCCTCCTCCTCCTTCTCTCCTTCTTCTTCTTCTTCTTCTTCTTCTTCTTCTTCTTCTTCTTCTTCTTCTTCTTCTTCCTCCTCCTCCTCCTCCTCCTCCTCCTCCTCCTCCTCCTCCTCTTCTTCTTCTTCTTCTTCTTCTTCTTCTTCTTCTTCTTCTCTTCTTCTTCTATTTGTATTGTTCTTAGGTTTGGTCTTTTTATAGTGTCTAAGATTTCCTGGATGTTTTGGGTCATTAATTTTTTTCAGATTTAACATTTTCTTTGACAGATGTATCCATTTCTTCTTTTGTGCCTTTTCTCTCTTCTGTCTCTTGTATTATGTTGGTGAAGTTTGACTCTGTAGTTCCTGTTTGCAATCCTAAATTTTTCATTTCTAGGATTCTCTTGTTTTGTTTTGTTTTTTTCTTTATTGTTTCTATTTCCATTGTCAGGTCTTGAATGATTTTATTTGTTTTCTTCAACTGGTTAGGTTTTGGGTGGTTTTGGTTTTTGGTTTTTGGTTTTGTTTTTGTTTTTTTTGTTTGTTTGTTTGTTTTTGTTTTTTTTTTTTTTCTTTAAGGGATTCATTTATTTCCTCCAGTTGTTTGTGTTTTCCTGGATTTCTTTAAGGGATTTATTCATTTTCTCTTTAAGAACCTCTATCTTCTTCAGAAAGTTGGTTTTGAGGTCTTTTTTTTTCTTGTGCTTCAGCTGTGTTGGAATATGGAGGGCTTGCTGTAGTAGGTGGAGTTCTGCTGGAGAGCCACTGCTCTGGCTGCTGTTGACTGTGTTCTTCTGCTGGCATCTAGGCATCTGGGTTTGGGATGATGATAAGTCTAGGTGCTGATTTGGGGGTTTGTTTTTGTTTGGTGGATGTTATATTACTTGGTTTTTCTGGATTTTCAGAGAGTGTGTTGGCTGTGCATTGTTTGTTTTACTGATCTGCTCAGCTGGTGCATTCACAGGGAGTTCTTGCTGGTATTAAAGGCTTGGGAAAGGAGAAGCCAGGGAAAGATGGTCTGTTGAAGTGCTAGGGGTAACCCTGAGAATTGGGTCTAGAACAGAGAAGATTCATGGCAGCCTACCTGGTCATCTGGCAGCATGTCCTGTGTGTGGTTAGGCAACTTGGGGGTTGCCCTAGTTGGGGGTTGGAACATGGTGATGAGGTAGGGATGGAAGGATGGGAGCAATGGTCTAAGGAATCCACAGGAGGGGCGGGCAGGGAGAGGGAAGCTGCTGCAGTGTTCTGTTGCTGCTCTATGGGCAACCATAAGAACTGGGTCTTGAGTTAACAGAGAGAGTAAAGAAGGTACATGAGCAGCCTTCCTGATCCCAGAATTCTGGTGTTATAGGCATAGACCACCATGACCAGCCAATGATTTTTGTTAATAATCTGAAGAGACACTGATAAAAACACCCCCTTTATTTCATTCCAGAGGGGTCTGAGAGTAATGGTGTCATTACTCTAGATTTAGAACCATTAATCCAGGCTTGGGTTGAGAGACTAGCAAATATGCTGATGGTATTAGGGCCCTGTCTGCGTTCCAAGTGAGGATTTTTGTCTATGTGTCTAAATACACTGAGACAAAGCATTAAGTGAAGTAGGAGGCTTTACCTAATGCTTTACAAGGTAAAACTTGATCTGGGCAGAAACCTCGTTTCTGACTTGGTTTCTACAGGTGATGGTGTGGATCCATGGTGGTGCTCTGGTTATGGGCATGGCTTCCATTTATGATGGATCCACACTGGCAGCCATTGAAGATGTGGTAGTGGTCACTATCCAGTATCGCCTGGGGGTCCTGGGCTTCTTCAGGTGAGCTTGGGGCTGGCCTGTGCTGTGCAGTAGGGGATGAACAGAAATAGGACAGCCCTGTGACTCCTTCCCTTCCACTTCTCAGCACTGGAGACCAGCATGCCAGAGGCAACTGGGGCTACCTGGACCAAGTGGCCACCCTGCACTGGGTCCAGCAGAACATCGCCCACTTTGGAGGCAACCCTGACAGGGTCACTATATTTGGCGAGTCAGCAGGTGGCACAAGTGTGTCTTCACATGTTGTGCCTCCCGTGTCCCAAGGACTCTTCCACGGTGCCATCATGGAGACTGGGATAGCCCTGCTGCCTGACCTTATCTCCAACACCTCTGAGGTGGTTTACACAGTGAGTTACCTCCGCCATCCTATCAATAATCCTACAGCTTCAGCCCCCACCCTCTGATACTCTCAAGTCTGTGTAGTGAGGAAAACAAGGAGCATGGAAAATAGTTTCTTTCCAGTGCTTTCTGAGAGACTCAAAGGTTAGAGTCCACTTCCCTCTGTTTTATACGGCTGAGTGTAATGAATTTATATAAGCTTTTTGTGGCTTTCATTGTCCATCTGAAACAAATACACATGGGTTGAAGATATGGCACAGGAGGTAAAAGTGCTTGCCTTATTTACAAGCATAAGGATTTGAACTCAAATCCCCCAGAAACCACACAAAACTACACCTGGTAACAAGTGTGTAATCCTGGTGTTCCAAAGGTCAGATGGGAGGCAAAGACCCGAGAATCCCTGGACGGTCACAAGCAAGATATAGTCTTACAGGCAGGAGAGAAACTATAAAGGACTATTTCTCAAACAAGATGAAAGCTGAACACTATCAACCAAATTGTATCCTCTGATCTTAGTACACAAAACAGTATAGGCACTCCTGAAGTCACATATGAGCACACACGCATTCGTAGACACACACATACAGCTTTTTTTTTTTTCTAGTGTGTTTCCATAGAATGACCCGTCTGGTCATTGTCATATCTGAGCAACAAGAAAATGGAAATTTCATATGTACTCAAAATCCACACAGCATGAAGTATGGTGTGATATTGGGGCACAATAGCATCCAACTAGGATTGGAAAAATTCTTCTCTTTGCCTAGAAGGATGAATCAACTCCTTCCTGGTCCCTTTACAGACAGTGGCCAACTTATCTGGTTGTGAGGCCATGGACTCGGAGACCCTGGTACACTGCCTGAGAAGCAAGGGTGAAGAGGAGATTCTGGCCATTAACAAGGTTGGCAGAATTGTGTGACTTGGAGGACCTGATCAAGGATGTGGGAGAGTCACTCTCTACTACTCTAAACCTCTGCTTCATGATTTGATATCCTTTTAATCATGTGTGTAAAATGAACAGCAAGATATCCTAATACATGCAGAATCTCTGCCAGGGGTGAAGGTGCATTATGAGACAAAGAAAAGAGGTAATGGTTAAGGTTTCTCAGTGTATATCAGAATGTGTGTGGAACTGACCTTCATCACTGACCTTGGATGTCCCTCAGGTCTTCAAGATGATCCCTGCTGTGGTAGATGGGGAATTCCTACCCAAGCACCCCCAAGAGCTGTTGGCTTCTGTGGACTTTCACCCTGTCCCCAGCATCATCGGTGTCAACAATGATGAATATGGTTGGCTTCTCCCCATGGTGAGGCACAGTTCCAGTTCTCTGAAAGTCTGAGGACTCTATGGTGGGCAGTAGAAACTTGTCCTATATTCATTCCACCTTACACTTAAAACCATCCTCTGTCTCCCAGATCATGGGCCCTGCTCAGACAATAAAGGAAATAACCAAAGAGAACCTGCAGGCTGTTCTGAAGAATACAACAGCACAAATGGTGAGACACTTTGAGTACTGCCTCCAATAGAAAGGACTCCAATATATCCTTCTCATATAGCATACCTAGAAACAAAGGTGTGTGTGTCTGTGTGTGTGTGTGTGTGTGTGTGTGTGTGTGTGTGTGTGATTATGGGTGGGCTCACACCAGAACTTATGCCCTTCCCCCTATACTTTATCTCATCCCTGGACATATTCTTCACACTGAGGCTGCTATCTGTCAAAACAAGAACCTGTCTAACCTCATTCTTCCTGACCACCTGGTGTAGATGCTGCCTCCTGAGTGCAGTGACCGTGACCTGCTGATGGAAGAGTACATGGGGGACACCGAGGACCCCCAGACCCTCCAAATACAGTTCAAAGAGATGATGAGGGACTTCATGTCCAACATCCCTGCACTCCAAGTGGCACATTTTCAGAGTACACCTGTAATGAGGTGGTGGTAGGAAAGCAGCTTAGGGCAGGGGTCCCAGGTGAGCTCTGCAGTATCCATGTCCCCTTCTGATGTCTGGGTCATGTCTCTGGTACCAGACACCCAAAGACTATTACATCAGTATTTCTTCATTCTAGTATAAGAGAGTGGAGCCTTATCCAGGTGCAGATAAGGAAATAAGCTGCTGATACTCTGTTGATTTGCCAAAACAACTTAGCTAGGAAGGCCATGATCACTGTTTAGCTGAGGGCTTTCCCATAACTAGTACTCCAGCCGTCCACTTGACAATTGTGACACCACATAACTTTATACCAATCTACCTTGTCACCAAGGGTTAGGCAGAAAAGCTCCAGGTAAGAGAATATCATGTCACCATGTGTCCTCACCTCTAGGTCCCCATTCCCCTGTCTACTTCTATGAGTTCCGTCATGAGGCCAGCTTCCTGAAAGATGTCAGACCATCCCATGTGAAAGCTGACCATGGCGATGAGGTTCCATTTGTCTTTGGGTCCTACTTCTGGGGCATGAAACGTGAGTCTTTCTTGTTTTCCATGAACCATATGGGTTCCCAGGGGGATGTCTGAGGGGCAACTGAGCTTCCAGTCTGGTTGAAAAAGTGAAGCTCTGAGAGAAGACGTAACCAAGTATGCACCTTTTCCCAGCTCAAAAAGCCACACCCAGATTAGACTCTGCACTATTGCAAGTAAAATCAGTTGTCTTGCTCACTTTGCTATCACTGTGATGAGACACCATGACCAAGGCAACTCATAGGAGAAAGAAAGAATTTCTTGGAATTACAGTTTCAAAGGGTTAGGGTCCACGGCCATCGCGGATGGAAGAAGAGCAACATGCGGGCAATCATGACACTAGAGCAGTAGCTAAAAGCTTACATCTTGATCTGTAAGCACAAAGCAGAGAGAGAGCCAACTGGAATAGAGTGGACGTTTTAATCCTCAAAGCCAACTTCCAGTGACACACCTCCTACAACAAGGCTTCGAGCCCTAGTTCTTCCCAAACAGTTCCAGTAAGTGGGACCAAGCATTCAAATACATGAGCCTATGGGAGTGACATCCTTCAAGCCACCACACTTATGTTAGAAGGAATGAAGTCACACTGGAGCAGAAATGAACCTGGAAGATTTCAATTAGAGGTATGGGTGGCTCTTGGATTCTGGATGGAGAAGGGGGAAGGGAAAGAGGCCTAGAGGTCAGGGTTGGGCTACAGTAAAAATGGTGATTGTGGAGCATGAGTAGGTAGCTGCATCAGGTGGCTGGGACCTGGACTTTTGTCTTCCCAATGGCTACAGTTGAGCTCACTGAGGAGGAGGAGCTGCTGAGCAGGAGAATGATGAAGTACTGGACCAACTTTGCACGACACGGGTGAGAACACACCCTTCCCTTAAACTCCTCAGTGCGGGGTCCCTATGTAGGACTCCATTTGTGGTTGATGACCTCATTATCACAAATGGATAATTCATCACATGACAGAGCCCTCCTCACCCCAGGGCACACTTAGATATAGTGTACATATTGGTTACTGATCGTACTGCAGTCACCAGGCACATGCTATGGTATGGCTCTTTAGATTTTGCCACTGAGATAGAGATTTGAAACTGGCCAGGTAATCCTGCCCCACGTGGAGCAGACACTAGTAGGTGACACTTGTATCCCTATACAAGGACACATCTCCCATCAGCCCTCTCAACCATTGGCCCAATTGGTCTACTGCCCTGACACAAATTATGGGATCAGGCCTTGAATAAGAGTGACTTTCACCCTTCCCTGCTGGGTGCCATATCCACAGGAACCCCAACAGCGAGGGTCTACCCTACTGGCCTGTGTTTGACCATGAGTAGCAGTACCTGCAGCTTGATATCCAGCCTGCGGTGGGCCGAGCCCTGAAGGCCAGAAGGCTCAAGTTCTGGACCAAGACTCTGCCCCAGAAGATCCAGGAGCTAAAGGGGACTCGGAAAAATCACAAAGAGCTATAGTGTTCTGTGAGAAATGATGTGTAGGGTTGAGTGTACCTGGGGTCAGCCTGACATTTCTAAAGCCCAGTGAGAATCCTAGTTAGAGTCTAACAGTTAGTCACATGATCATCCCTAACCTCTACAGTTGTTCTGACCAACATGTATGACAAACCCTTGGTGTGTCACACTCATTACTCCACAAGTTGAGATACCTTTTAGGAGACCCACTCAGTAAACGGTCCTATGACTGATTCCCCCAAGTGTCCTATTCTTCTTTCACATTCCACTGGGCCCATGCTCCTCCCTTCTTTTCTTCATCTCTCATCCTCTTTCCTCTTCTCCAAGTCCCAGGTCCTCTTCAAAGAAAACAAAAGCCTTGGAAATACTGACTACATGGGGTGAGCTATGTGAAAATCTCATGTTCTCTCTCAGCAAGTCTCATGTCTTTCTTCTTTGCAAGTAGCCAATAAAGAAACCTAATGACCCAAAGTCCTATTGTCTTCAGATGGTCAAGCTGTTGTTCTAAAAGTTCACAATGCAAATGGAGCTCTGTAGTAGGTATCTGTAGCCCCTACTATTCAAAGGCTGAGACAAGAACATGAGCCTGACAATTTCAGGTCAGCCTAAGCACATAGTAAGACCAATGTCTCTAAAAAGTATATATGTATGTATATGTATGTATGTATGTATATGTATATATATATATATACATATATATATGCTAGATAACATGCAAATAGAAATTTATATATATTTTTATAAACTGATGCCAGGTCAACATTAGGCAGGTGGAGCTGAGAGGAAGGTGGCCAGTCCAGCTGGATGCCCTCCATGGCTGAGCGAGATGATGAGTGTCAATGGCCCGAACCTCCCCCGAGGAGCCAGGAGATCTGTCGAAGCAGGAACTTGGTTTATTGAATAAAGCGGTCCTTTTTACAGGTTTGGGGCAGGGGGCAGGGTTAAGGAAGTGAGGTAAGATGACCTAGAGGACAAGGTTAGGTAGTGCAAGGAGAGGTGGGCCAGCGACAAAACTCCACATAACAGTTACCAGGCAGGGTTAATTTTAAGGTGGATATGCTGAATCACTTTTGCCCGGAAGTGGCGTCTCTTAAATCAGAAGCTAAAGACAGGCCTCCAAATTCGAGCCAGGCTCAGGTAGATACAGCAGGCCTTATCAGGCCCAACAAACTGAGAAATCCAATGTCAAATGACATCATATTTGCTGTGTTGTGAAAGTTAGGTCTCTGACTCAAAAGATTTCACATTGTATCCTCACTGGGTAGAATGAGCAAACAGTGGTACCCTTGATCTTCCCAGAGTCATAACTCTTAATAACATTGGATTAGAAATTATATTTCAGCAAATAAATTTGTTCCCATGGCTTTCAGTTCATAGCTCATAGAGGTCTCTGACATCAGCCACTAAAGATGCCAACTGATGAAAAAAAAATCTCTACATATTGTCCCTTTGCATGAACTTTTATTTGCTTCTTTTATAAAGGCCTGTAAAAACAAAATTAGGCGTGTTTATGAGGCTCCCAAGCTGGGTCAGAAGTTAGGGAGTTGACCAGAAGTGTCCCATTTCCTGAAGTTTGTTCTTCCTATCAGGAGTTCTACAGACATTGTGGAGAACTTGCATTGAGTCTACCACCTCTGTAAAGATGTTTGTCTATGGGGGTGTGTCCATAGGTATCAAAAGAGATAGATTCCTGTCCCTGGCACCCAGAGCAAGTTTCCCCTTTTATGGAAGTGTCTTCATGCCCTTCATGAAACTTCCTGGAGTCTCTTGACTCCTTGATCAGCATCCCCTAATCTTCCTGATAAGCCATGTGATTGATTTTCTTCAATGTTTCAGCCCCACAAAGTCTCTTGCACTTCATCATTTTCAAAGGTGCCAGATTCTGCCTGCTCTGTCTGTGCTTTTGCTCCCCCAAAGCACTTTCTCTGTCATTAAGGGATAATGTCTTATGTCCTATAGGCCCTAAAACTGCCCCATCCCTCTACTTTTCACTCATTTGTACTACCTGGGTCAGTTTCCTCCAGGGCAATCACTGCACTAAATAGCAATCATGACCTTCAGGTTGAAAATGGAGATTTCTGTGTTGACTATCCAGGACACCAGGAAATAGATGAGGTTATTGTTGAGCCTGGTTAAGAAGCTGAGCAGAGGGATACTCTCACTGGAGCGTTAATGTGCTGTTGAGCTCCTGGTGAGACCAATAGTTTGTTGAACCCCATCAGGCAGTCAGATTGGGGCTTCCTCTCTGAAGGCTTTCATTGCTGAAAGCTTGGTGTCAGCTGACAACTGCTTGCCCAATTCAACTGAAGACTTTCCTGGAAAAAAAAAATCAGAGGCAGACAACCAACAGTGTCTGATTGGCAGCTCATGCTGCTTCCCCTGAAGCCTCCTCCCCTTTGCAAAGCCCTTTTATACAATCTAAACCAATCTCTGGACCCTACCTGTCAGGTGAGAGCCCTGGCGACCATTGCTCGGAGTCACGGTCCCTTTGCACCACTCTCAGGCACTCACTCTTCCCTGATGATTATCTTTCACCTTCACTCATTGTCACTTGTGAGACAGTAGCGAGCCTTGGCCTGTGGTGTTGGGAGCTTGTGTGACTAGTTGTTTGACACGTTGGTGCCAATACCAGTGTCCAGGGTGCTCTGATGACACTCTGCTGCAGTGAAGGGATCACTCTCTTGCAGTGAAGGGATCACTCTCTTGCAGTGAAGGGGATCACTGAGTCTTACTGCTGTAAACCCACTGCCATGTGGCTTTCATTTCTCTGAATACACAGGACATCTCACCAGCAGCAATCTTGGGGCACGTTTAAGACTTTCAGTAGTTTCAGTAGTTGCTAAGGTTTGATTTTACAATGTGGCCCACAGGCTTGTGTTTTGAGTGCACAGCTCATAGCTAGAGGAATGTTTTGAAGGCTGGATCCTTTAGGAGGTAGAGCCTGCCTGGAAGAATTACTAGGGGCAGGTGACCAATATTGTCACCTGGACTTTTAGCTGGACTTTATTTTTAATTTTTTTAAAGAAAGACTTCATTTGTGGTTATTTATTTATTTATTTATTTATTTATTTATTTATTTATTTATTATGCGTACTCTATTCAGTCTGCACGTACACCTGCAAGCCAGAAGAGGACACCAGATCTCATTATAGATGGTTGTGAGCCACCATGTGGTTGCTGGGAATTGAACTCAGGACCTCTGGAAGAGCAGACAGTGCTCTTAACCTCTGAGCCATCTCTCCAGCCCCTGGACTTTTATTTTACTTGTCTTGTTGTTTGTATTGTTATTATTGATACTATGAATTTTGTTTGCTGACACACAGTCTTCCTGTGTAACCCATGATGTAATCAAAGCCGGGATCTACCTGCCTCAACTACTTGCATTAGTCAACATACCTGTTCTCCTAGACTTCTTTTTTTTTTCATTTTATTTATTCCATGTGTGTGTGCCCGTGCATGAACATGCACACTCACAAACACATATGCACACTTGCACACACATGTCCTGGCACACATATGAAAGGTAGAGGAAACTCTTTGAAAGTCAGTTTTCCCCCTCCTCTTATGTGGATTCCAAAAATCACACTCAGCTCCTCAGTGTTGGTGGCAGACACCCCTACCCACTGAGCTTTCTCACTGGCCCTCTCCTTAGACTTCCAAATTCTGCTTCCATTTTCCTTCCATCTCCATCTCAGTCCTTCTATACTCTGACTCCGTGTGAGTGTTTCTGTTTCCTTCTCTGGCTGTCTGTTTCTCCCTGTGTTCCTCTAGGTTTCTGTGACTGTAAGTTTTCCATCACCCTCCCAATCTAGACATAAATGCTCTGAAGTGTCTTCTTCATTCAAGATTATATTTATATAAATAAGTATATGCATGTACACATATATGTATATGTGTGTGTGTGTGTGTGAGAGTGTGCACTCGTGTGTATAAAGACACAAACACAGAAATATCCCTGAGTTCAAGGAAGAATCCATACAGATATTCAGACGATGACTATGAGGATTAAGAATCCAGGACAGAGAACCAAGTAAATCAAGAGTTCAGAACCTAAGGAGGAGTTTTCAGGATTAGGGGAACATTTGTAGCTTCATGGATTTGCTCTCCCATTTCTCTTCACCCCATAATAGGTGTCTCTATTCTCGAATGTGGGTCACTGAGGGTGTGTCTCTTCAGAGAACACCTTCTGTCTTCTCCGGTTACAGTTTCTGCTCTGTCATCTCGTCCCCAGGGCCCTCTTTAGACCTGTGACTGTCATGTCAGTACACTTAGTGCCTGCAGGTTTCGGGTGCAGGTCCCTGTAATTTTAGGGGCTGTGGATACTGCATAGCATCTTCATGGAGGCCAAAAGAAATACAAAAAGTGTGAAGTTTAAAAGATCCCTGTCTGGTGACTATGGCTCTCACAAGCCCAATCTGCTTGCTGTTGCTCTCCCCCAGCACCCACACTGCCAGGCTCCACCCAGAGCCCTGCCCATGCTCTGCAGGGTCCAAACTCCAGCTCTAGTCCTCGGGTGCCTTCTGGTAAAGCCTGGCCTGCCCTACAGAAGTTCAGACACTCTTCTGTGTACCAACCATGGGCCCGGAACAAATTCTCACTCGGCTAACCACCGCAGCCTGTGGGTTCCTGCTTCTCCTCCAGGTCCAGGGTGAGGCTCTCATGGGAGTGACAGGGAACCAAGGCAGAGATGCCAAGGCAGAGGCAGAGTGGAAAGTAAGGGGGGAAATGGGCAAGAAAGCGATGAAATGGTGGAGTTTGTTGCTCAGGAATTCTGCCCTTGTATGATGCTCCCTGAGAATCAGGGTGGTCCACCTGAAGCTATAGAGGCTCTCTAAGGATGCCCACTTTCAAGAGAGGGGCTGAAAAGCAGGGGGAGTTGCAGAGTGGCAGGTGAACAAGGCCAGGCAGCAAGCAAGGGTGTCAGGACATTCCCTCCTGGGTTTGTGACTGGAGCTAGAGCGATACATGGGTACTAAAAAACATGGCAATACCCTCCATAGCCATTTGACTCTGCTGTATCATTTCCTTGGCCAGAGGTGCAGCATGGCTTTCTCAGAGGAACTCAAGTAAGACTACTTACTTACAAACTCATTCGGGTTCTTACAGGAACCTGGTCCTGCAATTAGAATTAGATCTGAGAGGTCACAGAGTGCCTTTTACATCAATTAGCTGGCCTGGCTGAGGCAGCGGTATGACTCGGCTTCTAAGGGAAAGGTTATATCACTCGTGCCTGCCAAGCAGTTTCCACCTTATTTGGAGTTAAGTGGGCAGAATGCCTGAGCATGTCCCTCAGTCTCCACCCTCTCCCATCAGGGCCCCCTCCTGAAGGCCCCAATTCTTGCCACCGTTTCCCAGCGTGCCCAGGAGGAAGTCTGCTTGCCTATTCTCCATGCCTTACCTCCAGTGGCCGTTCTCCTTTGCCTGATTTGACATTGCTCTCCAAAGTCACCAGCACCCTCCTGGCAAGATATCTTCTCAGCCTCTCTAATGGCTCCCGTTTTAAATAGTGCTTGGCTCGAGCCTCTATCAGGAAGCATCGTTAACAGGTCATGGGAGACACAAATGTGGATCCAACCCTCTTCTGTCATCCACTTCTGGTTCTTCCACAGGAAACGTCAAGGTCCCTGGGACTTGCATGCAGGACTCAGGAGTTTGTCTAAAGTTAGATGAAGGCTCTGGCCCTTCATTACAACCAGAATAATTACAGATTCACTGCACTTCTGGCACCACAACCTAACACTGCCTAACACGGACAGCACCTCACACTACTGCGTGTCAGAGCTCCCTAATACCACTCAACAGGAGGCTTCACCCCAAAAATAGTCAGTCAGAGCAACAAGTCTAAGATCGTGGATATTGTAGTATTTTCTTGTCTGTTACTGTAATAAACACATGAGGCATTGGTAGCCAGTAGCTAAAGTGAAATCTCATGGATAGAGAGCTCATTCCACATGAAACCCTGTGCGAGCAGCACGTGACAGAGAAGGGGAGTGTGCCTTTTCACATTGACATCTTAGTGGATTAGATAGCTGTGGCAAAGTACCTGAAGCCACATAATGGTCAAAGGAAGTGGTTTCATTTAGCTCGCAATTTGGAGATTGAAAATTCGTGATCAGGTGGCTCACACTAGCGAAGCTCTGTTGAAATCTTCTAACTATGTGACAACATGCCGATGGCATTTTACAGTAGTAGCCTGTAGGAGAGCGCGTGGTGAAAGAAGAAGCAATACGCCCTGGGAATGGCCACAGTCACTCTTGTCTGACAGCTCACTCTGACTCTTACTGCAAGACCTAACCTGTTTCAAAATTACAGTAGTAATCCTGGTACAATCCTATGACTCAGTCACCTCCCACTAAACCCAACTTCTCAAAGCTCTACTACCTGAAGCACCCTTCGGTAAACGTCCAGTATATTTGGGGGATAAAACATATCCAGATCGCAGCATTGTGTCCCAGCCCAGACGTAAACGTGGGTTCATGTCCTCCTCACAGTTCAAAACATGCCCATACCATGCTCTCAGTCACAGAGACTTAACTCCTTAGGACATGATGCCAAAGTCCTAAGTCCCATCTGAAATTCAAGGAAAATCCCTTCTAGCTGGGAGCCTTTAAAAAAACAAGTTTGATGGTTTCAAGAATCCATGTTGAAACGGGCACAGAGTAAGCATTCCTTGTGCTGGCTGGCTTTGTCAACCTGACACGATCCTAGATATAGCTGGGAAGAGGGACTCTCCCAACTGAGAAACTGATTCCAGTAAATTGGTCTGTAGACAAGTCTTTGGGTGCATTTTCTTGGTTATTGATTAATGTGGCAGGGCCCAGCCCACTGTGAGTAATGCCTCCCTTGGGTGGGTGGTTCTTTATCATGTATGAAAAAGCAGGCTAAGCAAACCATAGAGAATAAATCAGTAAGTGGCATTCTTCCATGGCGGAGGTTCTCAACCTTCCTAATGTTGCCACCCTTTAATGCAGTTCCTCAGGTTGTGGTGACCTCAACCATAAAATTCTTCCACCGCTGCTCCATAACTGACAGAGAAGTAATTTTATAATTTTGTTATGAATTGCAGTGTACATATCTGATATGCAGGAAACCCACAGGTTGAGAAAAACCACTCTATGGCCTCTGCTTCAGTTCCTTCCTTGGCTTGCTGCCCTCCAGGACTGTAAGCTGTAAGACGAAGTAAACCCTTTCTTCCTCCTCCTCTAAATTGACTTTCAGTCATGCTGTTTTTCACAACAATAGAAACCTGACTCAGACACTCTCATTTTGAAAAGAATGAACAGGAAAATAGAACACGGTGTCAGGGCTCAAACAAACTCAAAACCAAGCAAGAGAGATGGACTCTCAAAACTGTAAGTCCAGCATGTTATAACCATGGGAGCAGGCAATAGACCCCAGGAACTCAGTGTCCCCATTTCTGTGGTACTGCTTGCTGTATTAGGTACTTTTTTTTATTTCTGTGACGTGACCAAGGCAGTGTATAGAAGGAAGTATTTATTTAGGCCTATGGTTCCAGAAGTATACAAGCCCAGAATAGGATGGCAGCGAGGATAGGATGGCAGTCAGCAGCAGGTAAGGTGACGGATATAGTTGAGAGCTCAAATCTCAAACTGTAAAGAAGTAAAATTGCAAATGGTGCATAGTTTTCAAAACCTCAAAAATACCCAGTGACTTCCTCCAACAAGGCCACACCTTCCAAAGGTACCCGAATAGAGCCACCAACTGGGGACCAACTATTGAAACATCTGAGCCTAAAGAGAACATTCTCATTCAAACCTCCACACTGGCTGCCACCTACCCGGCTGCTCTCTCAAGGTGTGTACTGTGGCCCCCTGGCCTTCATAGATGGCTGCTATACAATTGCCTGTATTCGTACAGCTCTGAAATCGCAGGAGCCGTGGTCCCTCTCAACCCGCTCACAGGGCATTCTAGTGGAAAACCTGGGCAGTGCTGCTGGGGTGGAGCCTCCCAGATTTTCCTTAGAAATCTCAGTGGAACCTGCTATGATCTAACAGCTCTTAAATTCTGTGTCCAACAAATCGGTAACAGGTAAATAGCCCCAAGATCTGATGCTTGGTCCCTGTGTCAAGAGGCATCCGCAGGCTGGCTCAGCCATCGCTAGAGCAGACGTACATCATTACACTAGACTCTAAGAAGCCTCTCTGTTTGTGATAGGAAGTTAAAGAGGGAAGATGTTGGCAAACGGAAGGCCTCTAGGATGTCTTCAGTGTGCCTTTACCACTCTTCTGGGGGCATTCCTCTGGGCCTGGCGCTCTTCTACCCATAGTATTTTCTTTTGTGCCTTCACATTTTTACGGAGAACCCTGTTTGCACTTTACATGGACATGATGTGAACGTTCAGATTTCTAAGCTCTGCCTCCCTCACCATGGATTACTGTGAATTTCACCGAATATGGCCCAGAAGACTCACACAATTCCCTCTATAGTTTACTTAGAAATGTCTCTCTCTAAATACTTCTGAGCACCACTTTTAAAGTTGGCTTTCTACGAGCTTTGGAGTACAAATACAATGCAGCCAACTTTCTTTGTAATGATGTAACACAGGTGACCTTCGCTCTAGTTTACAATGGAATGGTTCTCACTTTTTTCTGGGACTTTGCATAATATGTCTTTACTGTCAGCATTGTTATTGGCATTCTGGACACAACCATGTAAACCATCCATGAAGTCTAAGCTCCTTCCTATTCTTTTGTCATCAGAGCCTTCACCAGAACAACTTATAATGTCCCCTTTACAACAAACTAGGACTCTTAGAGATTGTCCCTTCCAATCTTTGGCCACCATTGTATTCCAATCCCATTTCCACAACTTCGGGTATTATAATGAAGCAGCCTCACATGCTTGGTACCAATTTTTTGTCTGTGTTTGCTTTGTATTGCTATGACAAATAGCCAACACTGGCTAATATATAAAGAAAAATGATCTCTTTAATTCGTAGCATTGAAGGCTAAACTCTCCATGGTGAGTAATGCTCTCTGGTGAGCCACAGGTAAGGATTTGGAGCTCTGTCATAACATGGCAATGACATTTCATGGATGGATGATATGGACTTGGAGCAACCAAGAGAGGGGAGAGGGGTCAAGCTGATTCTGATTATAACTGATGCCAGTCTTAAAGAAAGTAGCCCACTCCTGAGTGATTAAGCCCAAAAGCCTTTCCAAGAGCAGCCATGTTCCAATCACCTTCTACTATCCTACCTGTACAGATCTACCACCTCAGCACTGTCACTTTTGGCAAGCAAAGCACAGCAGAGAGACAGCAATAACTTACCCCTCTCTGACCCCCATGAAAGGCTGCCAGCTCTGGCCTTTCCTGCAGCAGGTGATTTCAAACTGGTTGGTCCATGTGGAACTATGATGGGTGATGTAGCAATAGCTCCCTAAGTTATTTTGTTTTTTCCAATAAATCCTGGCTTAAATCAGCCAATTCAATACAGGTGAAACAAGAAATTAGACAGACAAGAGAAGCAAGTGGTTTAGGAGAAAACAATAGCAAGGTAAGATGCCCTCACTAGATACTTCCTCCTGCCCTGAAGCACAAAGGTTCTGTGGCTACCTGAGACTTGCACAGCAGAGAGGAATGAGATACCCTAGAACCAGAAGAAATATCTAATGGATTAGCAGTACCCAGAATCAGTTTCAGGTCTGGCACAGCCTAGAAGTACCTGGACTGCATCTTGCTCTTGATGCTGTTATTTGAGGTGAATTCCAGTTATTACATTTGGTAATATTCTCTGTGAAGATAGGAAAAGAGGAGGAAAAACTAAGATCCTAGAGAAGATAGAGAGATAATAATAATAGATAGATAGATAGATAGATAGATAGATAGATAGATAGATAGATAGATAGACAGACAGACAGACTTAGGTATTTCAGCAACAGTTAATTCTCACTGTAATCAATTTTCTTTTGAAATATTTTGTCTTCTGTGTATGTTTGTGGCTTCCTTTCGGTTTTGTTGTTTTTTTCTTTTGTTTGGTTGTTCTTTTTTTATTTGTTGTTGTTGATTTGTTTTGTGTTTTGAGACAAGATCCCTCTATTAACACAAGCTATCCTTGAACTCAACTATAGCCAAGCATAATCTCAAACTTTGAATCCTCCTGGTTCAGTCCCCAGAGTGCTGAAATTATAGGCAAGTGCTATTTTACCCAGCCAAAATGTGTGTGTGTGTGTGTGTGTGTGTGTGTGTGTGTGTGTGTGTGTGTTTTAACCATATAGGTATTTTGCTTATATATTATAGTTTCCAGTTTTGTGCTTTTATGGGAATTTTGTGTGTTTTAATATGTGTGTCTTTGTGTCTATATGTGTTGCATATTTTCTGTGGCTCTTTTTGTTTTGCCCTATTCAGGTTTCTTTGTTTTAATAATAATATTTATTATCCTTAAATAATAATATTTATTATTACTAAATAATATTTATTTTATTATTAGCCTCTGTTTGTTTTCTAATGAGAGAGAGCAAAAGAGCGTGGATTTGAGCACATTAAATCCCATCAGATAGTGGCTGGTTACTCACACAACTGTTGTACTGCTTGTGCTATAGTTAAAATACCTGGATTACTCATTTCAGGGTTTACTTCAGTGGTTTTCCAGTACACAGAGCTCTCCCAGTGTATCCTCATATCTTAGCACACAATACTCAAATACACAGAAGAGCCTCTTCTGTGTTTCAAATTCAGTTCAACAGAGTCATGAACAGGGGTGACCTGAGGCCACTGTGACAGACAGGAAGCATATGAAACTGACATTTCCTGACCTTGGCTGAGCCGAGGGTTACAAAGAAGTTGGTGGAAAACCCCTTGTCATGGTGGCAGCTAATTATGCAGACTCAACAGTGACGTCAGCTCTCTATCCACAGGCCAGGATTCAGCCAGTCCCATCAGGACGACACACACAGGCCAGATACAGGGAAGCCTAGTCCACATAAAGGGCCTTGATGTGGGTGTTCATTCTTTCCTGGGAATTCCCTTTGCCAAGCCACCTATAGGACCACTGCGTTTTGTACCTCCTGAGCCTCCTGAATCATGGAGTGGTGTGAGGGATGGGACCTCCTATCCAGCCAGGTAAGTCCCTGAGTCCCTGGGATGGATGAGTGCTATGAACTCTGGGCCAGACTTCAGTGGTTCCTCATCTCAACCTCCCAGCATTTTTCCATGGCACAGGGGGGTTCCTAAGAATATCTTCAGGAGATCTTGATAATATTAAGAGAGTGAAAGAACTCTGTCGGCCTCTTAGTTCAGGGCTTGCCATTGATCAGGCTCCTTCCAGTGTTCTCTAGCATCCAAGGAAGGGTCTCTGGGAGAGGTCTGGCTTGACTCCTAGAACCTGTAAGATCCCCAGATTACAACATCAGAAACTAGGTCCTTGAAGAGAACAACGCCTTGCAAACATCACGTTCCACTGCTGCTGAGCTCTACAGGGCTAGATTTCACTGGACAAAAGAAGTAAGTATATATGTGTATTAGGTGCTTTTCTTGTTGCTGAGACAAAATTCATAGCAAAAGCAACTTAATGGGGAAGAGTTTACTCTGGTATATAATGCAAGGTGAATACCATCCTGGTGGGAAAGTTATGGCAGCAGGAATCCAGGGTGGCTTGTCACTTGGTGGAGAGAGGGAGATGATAACACTCAGCTTCCTGTCTATTTTCTATTCAGCTCGGGGCCCCAGCCAACAGAATTGTACTGTCCGCGTCTAGGCCAAATATCCTAATCCAGAAACCCCCTGACAAAGAAGCCTATTTCCATGGTGATTCTAAAGCTTATCAAGTTGACATTCAAGATGCCACTATACGCTCCTAACTGGAGGTTATGGGAGAGATGAGGATCCCAAGAGTCTGGACTTGGAATGAGGGAGGTTCTCACTACCCTATGGGAAACTAGCCTCCACTCATTTATGGACTCACAGCTGTCCTATTGCAGAACTGATTGGCTAAAGAGAGACATGGTCAGTGTCAACACCTGTCAATCAAAAGTTGTCAAAAGATCCCCAAAGGTCATTATTCCCCACCCTCAAGAGGTGGAGGAATCAAGCCCATCAATAACCTTGAGGCCTTACTGGAAGTCTGGGCTCTATTAGCTTCTCCAGAGCCTATATCCTGTACTTTGATGGGCAGGAACTTAGAGAGGGATCGTGTGTAAGCCAGGCATCAGAGAGGGGAGTGCCTAGGGATATTTGAAAGCATATTTAACCTGAGGGTCTGTTTCTGGGCACCCTAAATCCCTGGGCTGACTCTCTGCCATGGTTGGTCACCAGGTGCCTGCAGGACATCGCTGCAATGAATATGCAGGCTCTCAAGCTGTTGAAGCTGACCTTGCCTCCCATCCGTATGTCTGAGGATTGCCTATACCTTAACATCTACACACCAGATCATGCCCATGAGGGTTCCAAGCTGCCTGTGAGTATCAAGCCATGCTCAATCATGAGTAAGAGTACATTTCTTCTAGAAAAAGATTTAGAATATCAGCCTGAGCCACATTTCAGTGATGAGATGAGAAGTCTGATGAGAAGTCTCTTTCTGTAATCCAACCTACCTACCAACTTGTATCTAGAAGATCTATTGGATATGCAATGGCTGTACTTTGAAGTCACCAAAGACCTAACCATTAATTTTCATTTTACTGATGAGATTTGAGAACACTTCTGATTAATTTTCATGTGACATAATGGAAGAAATATCTCTATCATTTCTCCCACAAAAGTTTCTGGGAATAATACAGTCAGGCTTTGATACTAGGGTGGACTCCAAGCAGAGAGAGAGCTTGTGTCCATGACTGCACTTGAACCCCTCGCTCATAGCATTTGTCTGTGTGGGCAGCACTCAGAGAAGAAGCTGTACTGACTCTGAAGGGAAGCCCAACGGGGAGACATAAGGCACGTGGGAGACACATGACACCTATCTTGACTTCTCCAGGTGATGGTGTGGATCCATGGTGGTTCACTGGTTATAGGCATGGCTTCCTTGTATGATGGATCCATGCTGGCCGCCATTGAGGATGTGGTGGTGGTCACTATCCAGTACCGCCTGGGGGTCCTGGGCTTCTTCAGGTGAGCCTGGGGCTGGCCTGTGCTGTGCAGTAGGGGATGAACAGAAATAGGACAGCCCTGTGACTCCTTCTCTTCCACTTCTCAGCACTGGAGACCAGCATGCCAGAGGCAACTGGGGCTACCTGGACCAAGTGGCCGCCCTGCGCTGGGTCCAGCAGAACATCGCCCATTTTGGAGGCAACCCTGACCGGGTCACTATATTTGGCGAGTCAGCAGGTGGCACAAGTGTGTCTTCACATGTTGTGTCCCCCATGTCCCAAGGACTATTCCACAGTGCCATCATGGAGAGTGGGGTGGCCACGATCCCTGGCCTCATCTCGACATCCCCTGACGTAGTCTATAGAGTGAGTGCCCTCATGCCTATAACCGGAGCTGCCACCTCAGCTCTCACCCTCAGAAACCCTGGTTTTCTGTCTGACCGATGTGGACAAGGTCCATGGAGGTAACCAGGCAACTGCCTCCTGTACAGGAATTTCTGAAGGGCTAAAGGTTAGAGTCACTCCCCTCTGCTTCCATGTATCCCGTAAAGCTGTACTCAGGATTCGTGACATTATAAGCAAAAGCATGTTATAGGATGTGATAGCCCCTCGGGCTGTCATCTCTGAACATGAAAGAAACAGAAACAATTTTACACCTGCCATAATCTATATACCTACGTACCCTATGAGATTTCAGGGACACCTGAACCCAAGTTGGAACCAAAAAACAAAAAAAAAAAAAAAAAAATACCTTACCTGCCAAGGATGAGCAACCCCCTTCCTGATGCCTTTATAGACGGTGGCCAACCTGTCTGGATGTGAGCAAGTAGACTCGGAGGCCCTGGTGAACTGTCTTCGAGGCAAGAGTGAAGAGGAGATTATGGCTATTAACAAGGTTAGACTTAATGGTAGGATGGAGGGGCAATAGGGTATAAGGTAGCCTGCCCTAGCCAGCCTCCAACTGCCCTGGGAACTGACTTCCTTCCATCCTTCATAACCCAGAGCCCAGGTAGAGACCTGAAGACCAGGATGTGGTAAACCCGGTGTAGGATCTCATAGAGCTGTTGTGACAAATCTGGTATGAGACAGACAGGAATGGGAGACTATAGCCTAACACCAGAATTGTCAATGTCTCTCCAGGCCTTCAAGATCATCCCTGCTATAGTGGATGGCATCTTCCTGCCCAGGCATCCCAAGGAGCTGCTTGCCTCGGCTGATTTCCAACCTGTCCCCAGCATTATTGGCATCAACAATGATGAGTACGGCTGGATCATTCCCTCGGTGAGGCCCAGGTCCAAGGCCTTTGGCCTCTGGAAAGCCTCTCTGAGAGCCCCATGTTATCTTTACTACAACGTATTCTCTCCTCTTACCATTTAGAGCTTGAGCAACACTGACTCCCAGAAGAAAATGGATAGAAAGACTGTGCAAGCTGTACTTCAGAGGAGGGCAGCCAAGATGGTAAGGCTTCTCAAATACTGTAAATAATGAATGCAGAGGGCACCTTCAACGTATCCTGCTCATGCAACAAACTGCAAGAACAAATACTGAACTGTGATGGTACTTTTGGGTTGAGTGTCCCCAGAACCTGTCCTTTCCTGATTTAACTTGTCCCATGCCAGGCCCTACTTGTCATCCAGAGGCTCTGGTCTCACTGCCACAAGGCCTGTGTAATCTGACTCTCCCTGACCCCTCTGGGCTAGATGTGGCCTCCTGAATTTAGTGACCTGGTGATGGAGGAGTACATGGGGGACAATGAGGACCCTCAGCTTCTCCAAGTGCAGTTCAAGGAGATGATGGAAGATATCATCGTTGTGATCCCTGTGCTGCAAGTAGCACATTTTCAACGTGAGTACATCTGGAACTAAGGCCTGATGCCTAGGGGGCAGCTCAGAGATGTGCCCAGTTGAGCTCTGGGGTTCCTCATCTAAGTAAATTCTTGAGATTTGTGTAAGGCAAAGGAATCTTCCAAACTTTACTGGTGAGGACAATGAGTGACCACGACATCATAAAACCATATAGCCAAAATTTTCAAGATATGATTTAACCAAGCCCCTCCATCTGCCTCTGATCCAGCCTGAAGTTTCACATTTCACTATTCAAAATCTATCCACAATTGGCCCCATATCTAGCTAGCTATCTGGTCATCACAGTTGAGGAAGGACATCCCCAGGTGAAAGTTTGCTTTTTCAACTGCCCTTGCCTCCAGGTTCCCATGCTCCTGTCTACTTCTATGAGTTCCAGCATCGGCCCAGCTTCTTCAAGGACTCCAAGCCACCCGATGTAAAGGCTGACCATGGTGATGAAGTTCTCTTTATCTTCAGATCATTTTGGGGAGGCACCCAAAGTGAGTCATTTTTTATTCCCCCCAGGATCCAGGCCCCACAGCATGCTCATATGGCGAAACTGGGGCTCAGAGTAAAGAGAGCATGACTTGTATGCCATGATGTATCCCAAAAGGCTGATGTGAGATTAGAAACACAGCCCCTTCCCACTCCTGCCTGTTTTCTCCATCTGTCCCTACCTGTGTGGGCCATAGAATCAGGCATGGTGGTCAATGGGTTGTTTTAAGTTACTTGTTTCTTTGCTTGTTTTGACTTTTTGAGATAAGTTCTCTGTGTAAGTGTAACCCATAATGAATGGCAGCTCTGTCTCAGTCTTCTGACACTGGAGGGAAGCACTGCAACTCCCAGTGTGAGAAGAGTATTCCAAAGGCATGCTTATTCCTTTGGTCAGAAGGAAGAAGGATATTCTGGGGCATGAATGAGCCTGAGGGAGTAGAAATTGGAGGCTGAGATGAATAAGACAGAATGTGCATGTGCATGTGCAGGGAATGGAGTCTGGGAGGTGGAAAGAGGAGGGAAGGGAAGGGGAAGGGGAGGGGAGGGGGAGAGGAGAGGAGGGGAGGGAAGAGAAAAGGAGAAGAAGGAAGGGAAAGGGAAGAGAAAGGGAAGGGAAGGGGAAGGAGGGGAAGGGGAAGGAGGGAAAGGAGAAGGAGGGGAAGGGGAAGAAAGAGGGGAAGGGGAAGAAGAAGGGGAAGGAGGGGAAGGGGAAGGAGAAGAAAGAAGGGAAGGGGAAGGAGGGGAATGGGAAGAAGGGGAAGGAAGGGAAGGAGGGGAAGGGTAAGGAGGGGAAGGGGCCAGGCCTAGGCCCAAGATCGTGCTGTTGCAGGGATGGTGGAGTGAATAGCCTAGCCGCATGAGAAGCAAAGTCTAGACCCGTAATTTCTTCCTCTCTGCAGTTGACCTCACTGAGGAGGAGGAGCTTCTGAGCAGGAGGATGATGAAGTACTGGGCCAACTTCGCAAGACACGGGTGAGAGCAAGCCCCTCCTCAACCTCTAAGGAGCTGACTGATGTCCAGGGATGGTCTTTTTTTTTATTAATTTTTATATTAATCACAAGTTATTTACTTTGTATCCCAGCCGTAGCCCCCTCCTTCAGTCCCTCTCAATCCCATCCTCACTCCCTCATCTCCTCCCTGTCCCTTTCCAAGTCCACTGCTAGGGGAGGTCCTCCTCCCCTTCCATCTGAGCCTAGCTTATCAGGTATCTTCAGAACTGGCTGCCATGTCCTCCTCTGTGGCCTAGCAAGACTATTCCTCCCTCGGGGGTAGGGGGGAGGTAAAGGAGCCACTTGTTGAGTTCATGTCAGAAATAGTTCCTGTTACCCTTACTAGAGAAACCCACTTGGTTACTGAGCTACCATGGGCTACATCTGAGCAGGGGTTCTAGGTTATATCAGTAACAGGACAGAAGCCTACCGCAGAAGTCCTCTGAAAGATTCTACCTAGCAGTGTATCAAAGCAGATACGAAGACTCATAACCAAACCTTCAGCAGAGTGCAGGGAATCATACGATAAAAAGAGGAGTTAATATGACTGGGAGAGGACAGGAGCTCCACAAGGACAAAATATATCAGGGCATGGGGGCCCTCTATGAGACTGTTTCTCCAACCAGGGCTGGTGGGAACAAGACAATACAATAAGATCTTCCTGTTTCCCTACATCAATACATCTGCCATAATTCTCTAATGGCTTAGTCCACTGCCTGACCAAAATCAGGGAGGTGGTCCAAGTTCATCAGGGCCTAAAGAAACCTTTGCTCTCCCTGCTGGGAGGATGTATTCACAGGAACCCCAACAGCGAAGGTCTACCCTATTGGCCCGTGTTTGACCATGAGGAGCAGTACCTACAGCTGGACATCCAGCCTGTTGTGGGCAGAGCCCTGAAGGCTGGAAGGCTGAAGTTCTGGACCAAGACTCTGCCCCAGAAGATCCAGGAGTTAAAGGAGGTTGAGGACAGACATGCAGAGTTGTAGCACCCTGTGTCAAGTGCAGGTGGGGTTATTCTAAGGTTTCCAAACACCTTAAGAAGAGACATAGGGAAGCCACATATTTACATAGTCATTAGGTTCATACACCCAACAACTACTATGAAGTCTTCCCTACAAAATACATGTTCCTTGCTAAGCCTGACAAGGGTCACTTCTGTTACATACAGCAAACATGTATCCATGCATATATGGATGGGTGAGTCCCAATAGACAACACCCCTTCCTTGCATGGCCCCTCCCTCCCTCCCTTTCTCCTCCCCCCTCCATCCTCCCCATTTCCTCTCCTCTCACTTCTCAGGCCTTGTACTACTAGTGATGTCCCTTGGGGAGGATTTCACTAAGCTGAGTGACTGAACCCCCTTTTCACATCTCAGCAAGCTCCTATATTCTAATAGATAAGGACAATTTTTAAAGAAAATCAGATAATAAAAGCCTCAGGAGTTCATTCTAGGGCTATCACACACAATTATCGCAACAGGTAGCTTCTATACAACAAAAATTTATTGCTATCTGTTCTGGAAGCTGAAAATTCTGAGGACGCTGACACCCAATTTGAGATCTAACAAGATATCTAACGTATCTGACTCATAGGCAGCACTTGGCCCTTCCTGCCACAAACCAGCAAACACTCTCCCACAGGCACAATCCATACAAGCTTCATGTTAGCCCATCTTCTATTGTTACAACAAAAGATCCGAACCAACTACTTATTTTATTACTTCAGTTCATTTACCTTACATCCCAAGGGCGCCCCCTCCCTCCTGAACCAGATACTTACAAAGAGTTTCTGCGAAATGGCTCTGCAGTTAGGGATGCCTGTCATCAAGCCTGATGACATGAATCTGATACCCAGGAACCGCACGGTGGAAGCGGAGACCTGACTTTCCAAGTTGTCCTCTAACCTTCACATATGTTCTGTGGTTCTATCACACACACACACACACACACACACACACACACACACACACACACAC